TAACCTGTGCAAGACATGCGACTACACAACTGATCTTACCATATCCCAGACGACGTGTACAATGTGCGATGATGTCAGCGCCTACTCATCTGTTACCAACATGTGCCAATGTTAATATATTCATCGTTTATTTATTTCAGTTCTGCTCTTCTTGTTGTATTGTTGTCTCCTCGCTTACTTCATAATGCAATTACATTGATAATTTTTTCTTTTGATTTGTCAGTGTTACTAGTTTAATTAATTCATAATTTAATGATTTACAGTCATCTCATCTTCTCAAACATTAAAATTAAGAGCGACGTTCAAGATTTATCTCTAAATTTTTAAAAATTCTCCGTAAGTCAATCTTCTCCGTCATTATTGAGAAAATGTCTAAATGAAAGAAGTATCTACTGTAGCACAGAAACACAAGTTAGATAGCAACACTAACGAGGTAACAAACATTTCCTCAGTATGTCCGCAATATTGTTTGAATTGTGTGATGTCAAGTGATGGTACGTCGTCCATCTGCAATGCTGGAGCCTGCACCACTGGATACGTACAAATGGACGATGCACGAAAAAGTTGTTCAAGTTAGTTGTCGTGATGTGGCCGTCTGCAAGTTGTTTGCGTGGGCGTCGGTTGAATTTCATTACATAAAATTACATAACATGGGGTTTACGAATTTCTTAACGTGGGGGTTATGAATTTCTTAACGAACGTGATAGGTAACTTAATTTTTTTCCACTTTCAGGCTGTCCGTCAAATTGTATGGTGTGCACTTATAATGGCCAAGCAACGACTTGCCTGCCGACTGGTTGTGTGTTGGGGTCATTTTATTCGGGCTCTGGCACTTGCACCAGTAAGCAAAACTTTCTTGCAATTAGATTCGTTGCAATTATTTACCACTTGCTGGTTTAAAGTATTATCATTTAGTATTTCTCTTCTCAATTAAATTGTTATGAAATTACTGACAAATGATGTCACTGTTGTCAATTGAAACGATCTTCAAAGTTGGTGCTGATGTTAATTTTATAGCAATATTAATAACCGTCACGATAAAAGTTATCATAATCAGTTACCGAACTAACATTGGTGGCAGTAACGGTAGTAATTTTATAGTGCTTCTTTTAATAACGTTAATGGTGATAGCAGTATCAATGATAGTCGTGGGTGGGGTGGTGGGGGCAGTGGTGATAGCGTTGTTGTGTTTTTCCCCTCTAGGTGATATTACTCAGAAGATGATGCAATTTTTGTTAGCAATAATGTCTGGTTTCTAACAAATATCGTTCTAATCATACAGCTAATCTTTTTAGTAGAGTTACAACACTCTCGGTGGTAGTTCTGTTAGCAAAGTAATGAGCAAGGCTGGTAGTAGAGCACAATGTTGGTTGCTACAAGTAACGCTGTATAACACTCCATGGCCCACAACATTTCTGTTTCTATTATCGGATTGAAAATCCTAACGAATAAAAAACTAAAAAAATCTTCAATAATAAATAAAAACACCACGAGCTAACGAAGTGATTTGTGTGGGCTATATAAGAAACCGCGATAACTATTCTGATAGATATTCGGGCTGCTGATGAGTCCTCGGTAGGGACGAAACACGTATCCAGCCTTTCCAAACGAATACTATTTTTTTCTTCTCCCGCTCACTGCTCTTCCTGGTTCGGTGTTCTCATACATCAGCGCAACTGCAACACTATACATACACTAACCCTTGTTCCATCAATCCAAATAATCCAGACCCTGACATCAACTAACTTCTTGCATATCTACACTTGAATCATGGCCTACAAAATAACCTACAGCTCAACGAATCTAAAACAGAACTTATCAAAATGGACCCTCTCATAATTGAAGACTTTCTGTATGCTATTGACACCATTTTCATCAATTTACAAACTTTATTCCCAGTAGACATTTTTGGTTGGGTCTTTCTAGACGTGTGTAGACTTTAGTCTATATGTTTGACTTTCATTTAAAATTTCAGACTGCCAAAAATATTTTCAGAGTATATTACGACGACGCCATAACAATTACTATTACCGTCATGGATTCCATCGTTAAAAAAAATCTTCCCATTCGCTTCTACAATAAGTCAAAACTTGAAGCATCACCACGTTCCGACACAGATGAGTAACCTAATTAAATCAATCTACAGAAATTACACAATTCTTGACATACTAACGCCATTCATTATGTTGATGCGTGGAGTGCTTCAGATGACCCTTGCACGCTCTAAAATTCAATCTTTGCTTCAATCTGTTAATGGAAATAGTGAAGAAAAAAGAGTATCAACAATGCGGCTATCTTTGCGACCAACAGCTGATCTAAATTCAAATGCATGGCTCCAGTTTGCTTTGCTGACAACACCGCAACCATTGCTAATAGATCTCAAGATCGCCATAGTTACAATGATGTCATCGAAATTCTTGAGCCGACAGTTTGAAATGAAACAATTTTTGTCAAATGTAAACACTTTATATTAGATAAGTATAGATAGAAACAACCTTAAAACTGACTTTTAAAAAGCGATTTTCAAAATTTTTTTCGTATTCTTTTCTAATTAACAAGCGCGGTTGACTTTATTTGTATAATATTTTATTTTATATGTTTTTATTTTCGTTCTACATATTTTATTTTTAGATTTTGATTTTTAATAAAAGAGTTTCCATTATTATTAATATTGTTATTGTTATTATTGTTATTTTATTTATAATTTTTCAGATTGTCCAACTAACTGCAACTACTGCAATTCCTCGAGCTCATGCTACAGCCAGCAGTGTGACGTGGGCTACGGCATCAACTTGAAAGTTGAGAAGAGGACCTGCATAAGTAAGATCTGCATTACAAACCTACCTTAATCATCATTCACAACAAATTACTCGCATCCCTACGTTAACATCGGGGTCGGTAAACTGGCCCAGTCGGTAGAAGTGCCACTTCTCGCGCTGATATTACGCAATGGCCTGGTTCGTATACTGCTTGTCCGAAACTCACTGGCTATCATAGGCTTGTGCGTATGATGCGATGCTTGCGCGAGCCTGCTTTATGTGTATGTGCCTCGTCTGGTGTTGGTAATGTAAACTTTGTGTTACAAAAGTGAAATTTAAAGTGTAGCAGTTACGTGTATGCAGTTCTGTGTTTGAAAAAGCTGCATAATAATAAAAAATATAAACATCACTCATCTATTGCTATCAGTACCTCAGTTAATTTATTATTGCGTGAAATCTCTTATTTGAGTATTCAGTTGGAAAGCGTTTTTTTTGAAGAACTGTAACAAAAATGTGAAACGCTGACAGGTTGCGGGACGGCTTGCACGGTGTGTGACATCAATCAGGATACTGACGCTGCCACTTGTAGGAAGTGCAACCCGGCTGGCTACACCCTAAACACTGACACCAATAGTTGTGATGGTATGTTTGCTGGCGTGTGTGCGTGTGTGTGTGTTTCTATTGCTTATATGTTTTATGTATACGGCCAATGATTATCTCGAAAACAACATTGAGTATTTATCGACATCAATCATCAGCATTATTAAACAAAAATGAATCACGTTAAACAGAGATCGTCTACATAGAGCATAAATGAACCACACTAAGCATAAATGAACAACATCAAATGTTCATTCAGCTTGTTCAGACCACTGTCTCGCGTGTACTTATTCATCGACTGCTGCCGTAAAAAACACCTGCACCAAATGTGACAGTGGATACATTGTGCAGAATTCTGCTTGCATCGGTTCGTTTCTTTCTCTCTCTCTCTCTCCCTCTTTCTCTCTCTCTTTTTCTCTTTCTTTCTCTCTCTCTCTTTTTCTCTCGTCATCATTTTCCCTTTCTAAAATATGCCATGTTTTGGTTTTCTTCAATGATTTTTTGATTTGGTTCGGAAATTTTCATGTTATGTGTTTACTCTCATGTTTTATAAATTATGATTATGTAAAGAAGTAATCGAATAATTGTAGGATTGAAGTTTAAACGTTAGAATTGAATAGAATTGGATTGAATGTAGAGATGTGTGTTGGATTTGTTGCGCAGCTTGCCCGCCCAACTGCCTGGAGTGCACGTATTCGACAACCTCCTCGAAAACCACGTGTCTCGTCGGCAGGTGCATGGATAAGTATGTGTTAGTGACAGCCGATGGAACCTGCCAGGGTCAGTCCTCCGTGCTTCTGTTCACTTTCATTTTATACTTCGCATAGATATGCATTAATAATTTGGTTTGTTAATAACTGAGCAGTTTCTAACACATCATAAACATGACCGACATGTTCTGCAGCTTGTGGGTCAAATTGCCTTTCGTGCTCGAGCAACGGAGCCAACCTCTGTGACACGGGCAAGTGCATATCCGGCTTCACTCTGGCAAGTGACAAGACCTGCCAAAGTTGGTTTCAGTCTAATTATCTAATTAACTTCAGACTGCTTGAATAACTTTGACGAAATTGTGTAGGTCATGGTGTCCTTTTGTTGTGACGGTTTCATTTCAGATGCAGCGTAAAAGTTATAAGAGCGTATGGATAGGAAGAATGATTTTGAATGAGTGTACATCAGATTATCGTCATACATGGACTGCGTGCCTAGGAGGATGTTTGCTATAAGAACCTAGATTTTATAGAAAATTTGAACTCATGTTAACGAACAATCAGGTTGTACATCAAATTGTGTGAAGTGTGAAACGGCGGGACCAGGCAACTGTGACTCTGGCTCGTGTGCCTCTGGGTACGCTCTCTCTAATGGAGTGTGTTCTGGTGGGTTGTTTAATTTCTTTTTCTAACGTAAACAAAATTATTTATTTGCATTTTCAGCATAAACGAAACGTAGATATTTAGAAAATTCGTAGAGCATACACTTTTTTCATTGTTTGTGTTTTGTGTACAATTATTTATAAAAAAAATCATTGCGTTTTCGACATTACTCAACTAATAGCAACCAAACAAACAACCAAATAAACAACCAAACAAACAACCAAACAAACAAACAAACTAACAAACAAACAAACAACCAAACTAACAAACAAACAACCAAACTAACAAACAAACAAACAAACAAACAAACAACCAAATAACAGCATGCGACCCGAATTGTTCTGGCGGCTGCGCGAGCAATGGACCGGGCAAATGTGACAGCACGTGTGCCAAGTACTTCGTCCTCGCTCCAACCTACAACTGCATCAGTACGATCTTCTTTATGTTCATTCCTTACCGATAATTATTTCTTTCTTGCCTATTCATATAAATCAAAAAATTTGCTCCAGCAAATCTGCAGGCATGATGGTTATGCCTGTGGATATTAAACACATTGTTTGTTCAAGTGTGTTTTATTTTATCTCATTTATTCAAAATCAAATGACTACCTTAACATTAAAAACAACAAAAATCATGGGAGACAAAAACAGACAGTATTTTTAATGTATAGGCAGTGTGGATCACATATTATAAGTACAATATAAAATTCATATTTTCTTAGCCGAACTACAACTAACCAATAAACACGAACCTGACAATAACATTAAACCGACATTCATGTTATTTGAAATCCGTTTTTATGCAAATACTCGCAGTTTATAACGGTACATAGTGTAGTTTATAAGGCAGTAAAATTTCGATGATCATTGAGACATTGTGATGGGTGGTTACAACTTGAAACTAACATTAAAGATTGCCCCTCGAACTGTGAGGTGTGCACATACAACAACACGGGGAAAGCAGCTACTTGCACAACTTGCCTCATCAACTATGGACTCAGACTTGATGGAACATGCCTTGGTCAGTCTTCATTCTGCCAAAAATTACCAGTAACATTTAAATAAATTTTAAACAAAATGAGTTTCAAACAATTCTCGCGATTCAAAAACGTATTTCGACGTGTTACCTGCCTATGTATATTCGTAGCATGTGCATGGCGTGTGAAGACGGGATCTCTTCATTCGGACCCGATCAATGCATCCCAAAATAGGTGCACACTATTTCACAGTCCCCATTTAACATGAACAAAAAATCGAGTTGGTGAAGGACCGTTTGGGGATGTGGTCATCTGAAGTTTGAAGAAAATTGTTTCAAAATGATTTTTTCAGGTAATTTAATTTCACTTTTAATTAAGTAGTCAAGTCTAATGATAATTTTGACAGTGCTGACAAACTAATGATCACAATGTAATGTTGAATGTAAACAAGTAGCTGACAATTTTAATTTTTTTCTATCATGTTAATGATTTCCGAAACGCCAAACAAACTGGCAAAACACAGCGTGCCAACCAAACTGTGCACAATGTCGTCAGAGTGCCACAGATGGATCGATGGTATGTAGTACGTGTTCCAGCGGTTACCAGTACAACACAGGAACTTGTGGATCCTGTTCGTTGAATTGTTTGACGTGCGTAGCTGCTGGTGCAGTCACTGTATGCACCGCCTGCCAGACCGGATCAGTTATGAATATGACCAGTCAACTCTGCATCCGTATGCATTGATAGATAGTTTATAAATCATTTTATTTCATTATCTGGTGTTTGTTGAAATTTGGTAAACGGCATTTTTACTGTGTTCTTGTTTCACGAAGTGTTTTGTTGTATTATTTGTTGCTGATCACAATTATAATTGTACATAATTTTGTTTGATCTTCACTACTACGCCATGCCCAGCCTGTCCAGACAAGTGTTCAAGTTGCTCAATTAGTGGTGCAACAACAGTTTGCAATCCATTCGGGTGTCCCAAGGGGTACGCTGTTGCTGCCGATGGAACATGCCAAGGTTTGGTTACTTTTGAACATTGTAATTGCTCTGTTGATAGTCCAAGTTTTCAAACAGTTGAATGTTTATATTGAGCAGTCCAAGTTTACAAACAATTGAACGTTCGTATCGAGCAGCTTGCAGCAAGTTGACATTCACGAATTGTGTCCAGTGTTCTGATGTGAGCGGCAGCGGTACAGGCAAGTCCACCTGCCAGGATTGTGCGGCTGGTTATGGTCTCCAGGAGGGTAACAGTGGCTGTCAATGTAGGTTGAAAACTGCATGTTCACCTACATGTTCTACTTATATGTCCATTGTCCACCTACGCGATGTTCATCCGTTTTTTTCTAACAATGTTGTTTTTTAATGCTTAATACTTCATGTTACATTTTCTCCATTTAACCATCATTTGCGTCGTTTTGTTTTGATTCATATCAACAAATATCAATACAACTAAGTTATGACAACATTATTGTGAGTGTTAACTGTTCAACAGTTTTTAAACATGCTCAACAGTTAACTATCCAATATTTTGTCGACTTAGCAGGTTCATTATATGCAACGTGGTTGTTGAATTAAATTATTAACGATGAAAATTATTGTCGAGTTGTTGAATGATTGAAGCCTGCTCCTCGCTAACGAAATGTGGCAAGTGCATTGACCTGGCCACAGGATGCACCAAGTGCGCAAGTGGGTTGACTCCAGATGTTGATGGCAGTTCATGTGGAAGTATGTACACCCTCACCTCTTTATTCCATACTTTATGTGCTCACCCTTTATATTTTGAAACAGT